TATGGTCAACTCGATCAAAAGCTTTCGTCAAATCTGTATAAATTGCATCTACTTGAAGACTATCTTCTACAGCAGTAGCAACATACTCGGTGAAGAGCATCAAATTGGTCGTAGTTGATCTGCCAACGTGAAATTTGAAATTTACACTGCTCAACTCTAAATATGTTTTTAGTAAGGGAGTAAATCACACAGTAATAACTGAAAGAAATAAATCAAAAGAGTCGAAACTACAGTTGTTGCGCTCGGATCAAAATCGCTGGACACCTTCGTATACGGTGTCGCGCTGATCTAGCTGGCCACATGCAAATAGACACCATATTTTCGATCATGCGCCGTCGAAAACCGACCCGGCGAGAAAGGGTCTTTGTTGCTTCTCGGCGTTTGGTTATTCTAGGGTTAAACTCGGTTTGGGGTAACCATGACAATTTTTGTATGGCATATGTACAGTCTACACACCATTTAGCACTGTTTTTCCAAACATTAGACTGCACCTATAGCGTCGGAAATTGACATGTATCACCTAAAACTGAGCTTAATTTTAGGTAAGCTTTATACAACCAGCACTAAGCTTATTGTTTTCTACACCATTCAATGTCTCCTTAATTTAAGGGAATCGATAAAACCACAACAAGTAGTATAAAAAATGGAACAGGAAAATAATAATAAAATGTGAGCTTTTAAAAGTTTATTGATTTGGAACAAAAATTCAAAAGTTCGTGTACCTAGGCCTAGGTACTTTTATATTATAATCATACCATACAAATCGGGCATCATTAGACCGGGGCGGTTTAATCAACCCCATAAAAACTGCTGTATGGAATACAATGCATCACTTCATAATATATTTCCTTAGTTTATCATGTTTATGTAACATAAATTATGTTTAATATAATATAAATACAAAATACGTCTTAAAAATAAGGCTAGATCTTACTGTTATTATTTTGGGTGAAACAATTTCACTACCTAATGAGGCTCTTTCCACGGCACAGCGTCAAATCAATTCAAATGAATGAGATGGATGCGAGTCCGAGCTTTAGTAACCAGTTCAAACAGAAAATTTCTTCTTTTTATACTACTTTCATTTCGTAAACACGCATTTAAAAGTAATTGTAATGCAAAAAATGTAATTGTATTTATAAATGTAATTGGAAAAAGAAATTGAAATTGGAAAAGTTATTGTTTCTAAGAGAAGTAATCGTATTAGATAATTTAAATAATATAATTACAAAGTACAATTCCCTACAGATTTATTAATTACTAATATTATTAATTACTATTTAACTAGGAATTACCCAGCTCTGGTGCAGGGTAACAATAATATAGACAATTAATGTTTAAAGCTTAAAGAACTTTTATTCTACGAATTTTTAAAATTATTTTATATTTATTAAACTTATTATATTTTGTATTTTTTGTTAATTATGTTTTTGCAATTTATAATATTTTAAATTTTAAATTCTTGTCAGCGATTAGCAAGATTTACACTAAAGTATATATGCCTATAATACTAACAATATAAATGATTTAATAATACACTTCATAAGATTTTTTCTCATTGCATTGTACATTTTAATTTGGAATGTTACTACCTCCTGAAGATATATATTATACTTAAATCAATTTAAATATATAAAAGCAAGTTGTATCGTGAACTGCATTTATCTGTACATTATATTTGTAATTTTTCAAGAATTTTTTAGGATACTACGTTTGCAACCAATGCAACGGCCGTTACAGAAAAGTTAAATGTTTAAACAAACATTTGAAGTCTAATTGTGGTGGAGAGATGCCGCAATTTGTATGCAGTTTCTGCCTGGAAAACTTCAGTTATGCCACTAGTGTAAAGAGGCATATGTTGATTTGTCAGTTTAAGATTGATTCTGATGATTATGTTAAATATTAATACATATATTTGATAGTAACAGTATGTATCAAAAAATAATAACATCGACTTAACTTAAAATTACATTAATACTTATTAATGTAGCCCCACGTTGGGCGCCAATATTTTTAACCGCAGTTTTAAAATTTAAGTGATTAAAGCTCATTAATAAGGGTCGTGGATTGGGCACTAGGATATAGTAACTCAATTACTCTGAAATTGGGAAGTGGGCACCACCTTATTTAAATTCGAATATCTATAGGTATAAAAGTAATTGATGGAAAATACGAAAACAAAAATTACTATTAAATTTTAATGAAAATAAGGGATATGGCTTTAGAAGATACGGTAGAACCTAATTCTAATCTACAAGAGTTTCTAATAATAAAATAACTTTTAAATTTATCTATTTTTGAATACCTACTATTCGCTACATTATAAAAATTGACTTATCTCAATGAGGAATGGGCTTCATCAAGGTATTAAACAGGTCTTTACATAGCCTATGGTACTTCTTAGGTCCTCGAGATGTTAATTACTATATAAATCAGCAAATCCTTGTAGCCTTCATTCATTATACTTCTTAGACGTTGATTACTATCCAAATCAGCAAATCTTTCTTATGATAAAAAATATCCAAATAATTCTTCTAAGTAAAAACCATCCAAATAGTGCATAGCATATTTAATCTAATGGTTGTTAAAGATGAAATAGAATCTCTTTATGAGAGGACATCTAGATAAATATGAATTGCCTTTTCGAAACCAAATTCAGGAAGACAATCGAAATGACAATAGAGGTGTTTGGAAAATAACTTTATAAAAGACATACTGTTACAGCTGATAATGTTTAAGTTTTCCTCAATAAAATTAGTTTTACTAAAATATGAGAGTACTAATATCCCAATAGTTGTAGTCGTAAATCGACAGATTTTTAATTTCACTACTGTATTTTTCTCGTTAATAATTAACTAGGAATTTATTGTTACGTTACTTAAATGCATGCAAATTTAATTTATTTTTAGTATATTCCACTTTTTGTACTATCGATAATCTAGACACAAAACCAATTTTTAAAGTTAAATTGTTGTTGACCAGTGATAAATTATTGTTAAAATTTTATATGGAAATATATAAAATTATTGAATAAAGAATTTTGTATTTAAATATCTTTTTTATTCTATGAATTTTTTAAATTATTTTACATCTATGTAATTTTTATGTTTATCATATTAAATATCCTATTAAATATTTTTAACTGAAAATGTATCATGGAAAAAATGCATTATACTTATTATATTATTCGGACAAGGAGATCTCAAAAAGTTATTTTCTTAAAAAAATAGAATTTTGGCAAAATAATTTAGGTAATAATATCTAGAATATGCATATATTTTAAAGTTTTAATTCCTTCCAGTTTCCAAGAAAAAAAAAATCAAAGGAGTTTAAATTTTGAAATATCACAATGAAAATAAATGCATTTCTCAACAGCATTATTCTTAATGTTACCCCCAAATTTAAAATTTTATAATGTCTTGAATATGATTTTTTAAAATTCGTTAAAAATAGTGGCTAAAACGCCTCGTTAAGTGCTATCTTCTGGTGTAAATCGTTACAAGAAACGAATGATGACTGAGAGTGTACGATACTATAGTTACAGACGCGTTACACCAGAAAGCAGCACCTAACGAGGCGTTTTGGCCACTAATTTCGGCGAATTTTAAAAAACAAGAGATTAGGAGTTCAAATTTCGGGATTATAATAAGAATAGAGCTGTAGAGAAATGCATTTATTTCCATTATGATATTTCAAAATTTAAAGCTCTTTGATTTTTTTTTTCGGAAACTGAAAAGGTTTAAAACAAAATATACGCATATCTAGATAATATTACCTAATTTATTTTGCCAAAATTTAATTTTTTTAATAAAATTACTTTTTGAAATAACCTTGTCCGAAAAGTATAAGGGGTGCATTCACCTTAATACATTTTTTATTAATTTGTTTTTTTGTATATCAATTTATATCAACGGAATCTCAATTTCTTGTCAGCGACATTATCAAGGTTTATATTAAAGTGTGTCTGTCTTTAATACTAATTTAATAAATTATTTATTATTATTCTTCACAGAATTATTTTTTTCTTTATATTGTACATTTTTATTTATATTATTATTTCTTCCTATTGATATTGATTATGATTAAACTTTAAATTTGTAAATGCATGTTATATTGTATACGTCATTTATCTATACATTGTATTTGTAATGTTTCGAGAATTATTTTAGGATACCACACGTGCCACCAATGCAACGGCCGTTACAGAAAAGCGAAATATTTAAAGAGGCATTTGAAGTACAGTTGTCTACAGACGCCGCAATTTGGTTGCAGTTTATGCTTGAAAAACTACAGTCGTGTTGATAGCCTAAAGAGGCATATGTTGACGTGTCAATTCAAGATGGCTTCTAATGATTATGTTAATTATTAATTTTAGTATAGAAGTGATAATAAAAAGTTATTAAATATTTATTTTTTTGACCTGTTAGCCTTAGGGCCTTAGGACTATATAATCTGAAAATAAAATAAAAATATTTTAATTTTGTTATTGAAACCTTCTTAGACGAAAACATTTAGAAAATACTCATTAATTTAAAAATTTAATAGTTACTTGGATGATAATGGTATAACGTATTTAATGAATTAGATTAATTTATCCATTTACTTTAATTTTTCTCTTTGTACAAATCACAATGTTAACTATATTAAAATAAAAAAAAAATTAAATTAAATTTGTTCAAAATGTAACAAAAAATAATACCATCGACTTAATTTAAAATACATGTTTACATATTCAATAATATTTTAAACTAAATAGATATGGTAATTATTTTTTAGTCTATGGTTTGACCTTGATTGAATTATTGATATCGTAACTACACATTTGCTCTCCCATTTCCTTTCTACTCGAATACCTCATGCAACAAATTTTTAATATTATGTAGGCTGGAAAAGTGTTTATAATTTATGAATAAATATTTTAAAAAATTAATATTTATATAGGTAATAAAATGAATTTTTTGACATATATTTAGTGTTATTAATTAACAATCTTATTTTAGGATATTTCACATGCGAGACTTGCAACAAAACGTACAAGCATTCAAGATCGTTGAGAAAACACGAAAGGTTTGAATGCCAGAAAGAACCGCAATTTGTATGCGTTTATTGCCCATACAAAGCCAAATTAAGAGGCAATTTAAGAAAGCACATAATGGTCAAACATAGAGAAGAATGGACTTCCGGTGCTGCGAAAATTTATGTGCAGAGAACCAAAAAACAACCAGTAGACGTTTAAAAAAAAGGCTATTCATTAAAATTTTAATTTTGTAAATAAAATAAGACTTGTTATATTTATTGTTGTTTTTTTTTTTATTTATATTTTTGACTTTTGTTAAAATTATCTGGTTAGGAATTTTTATTTGGATTGTTAAGTAGATGTGTGAATAATTTATTATTGTAGGCTTTATTGTTAATAAAGAAAATTAAAAAACAAGTATAACTAACTTATTGTCGTAAGCGATGATGTGAATCGTTTCTTAACAATATGAAGGATGCTGAAGAAATTTCTTCTTCCTATGGATCAATACTCCTTTTGGAGTAATAGGTAAATAAAGCTCTAATTTTATAACTTGTGTATCTAAAAAAAAATCAGCATTTTCTTTATTATTTATAATAAAAATCAAGTTCATTATCATTATAAAATTAATTTTGTCATTATTATAATAATTTTAAATGTTTTTCTTGCAGCTTTTCCTTGTGAAACATGCGGAAAAAGCTACAAATACTCGAGATCGCTTAGAAAACACAAAACTTTTGAATGTCAGAAAGAACCGCAATTTCAATGTTTGTACTGCAATCACAAATCAAAATTGAAAGATAATTTAAAGAAGCACATGATTACCGTACATAAAACTACCAAGATCAAATTGTAGGAAATATATTTGAATTTTATTATTAAAGATAGTGGACACGGGCAATAAATAAATGGAAAATACATTTTTAGTTAATTTGAATTGAGTAATAGAATTAAAAAGGTTTGATATTAAAATCGCTTTGCTTGTTGAAGGCTAAATTTCAGACCATAATTTTCTTACTTTTTGCAATAGATTATTCTAAATATATTTGTAAGAATCATAACCTTGTTTTGGTTAATGATGATTTAGAATCATATAAATATCTAAAGAAAACAAGTTCCTGAAAATACTGTAGGAGATAAATCAGAATTGTGAAATTAACTCGAATTCCAATGGAATTTTATCATGGCGTCTTTTTGTCTGTCCAGTTACAGATTCACTAATTCCTATAGACCGTTCTGAAAAGCAGCTGAGTACCATAAACGTTTTAAATTATAATTTTTTTATTTTCTGTCTCTTATAACCTAATTCTCGATTAGTCTTAGACATCTACAAATAAAAATTCACTTTAAATTCACACATACCTTTACCTTAAAGTCATGAAATATTCTGCACTAAATATTCCGAAATAACATATAGTTGGCGGTACATGAATTTGCAATGAATTATTTATTTATAAAAAACTTGTTACCAAATTATCTTTTTATGGTTTCATTATTATTATATGCCAATATAAGATAATTTTGATTCTATAAATATTATTTTACAAGCTTAAATGCTAAAATCTAACAAAGTAAGTTTTTTAATGGACTAGAATCTAAGTGAAGTTATAAGTTTGGGTTATATAAGTAATGGTGATGATTTAAATAATCAATAAATTTTATATCATAACAATATTTAACTGTAACGGGAATTTATCCTATAGTCATCAGTTTCATTTGCAGAACACCTTACGGAGCACATTTTGAAAGTTGTTAAAAATTAAAGCATCGTAAAACTGTTTTACCCCGGTTCGCATTTTAATTTTTTATAGTTTTTACATTAATAAATATTAAAAAAATAGTCAGGCACCAGAACAACAGGACCAGCCGTGTTAGCATTACTAGTTTCATGTTTTCATGTCGTGATAATTAGGTTAGTAGTGGTTTTCCAAAGCTGAAACTTATTCAAATATTTTATTTATAGTATATTATTAATAAAAACGTTCAATTCTTAATCTAACAGGACTCTTTCAGTCAATAGTCGCCAATACTCAGAAAACTAAGGTTACTCGATTTCGTATTGAACACAATAAATGTATTATACTCGAACAAAATATTGGAGAAGATGATTAATCCCTGTTCACGTACAATCATCGTACTATACCGGTGATTTATGAATGGTATCACCTGGGTATCACGTGTAATATGATTGCATAAGCTATTAATATCATCTATTGGTATCATCTATGCATGTTCATTGCCAAAATATATTCCTTCCGTTGGCGTACAAACATTATATTGGCAAACGACAGGGTCAAAAGTTAAAGGTCAACTCGGCTAAGGCGGCTAGACCACGATGGATCTCTAGCTAAGAAAGCATAGGTCTGGCTGCCTTAGCCGAGTTGACCTTTGAACCCTATCACTTGGTCTGTCGGTCTAGCTCAAGTGACGTGTACTCTACTAATTGAATGCTTAAATTTTCGATTGAGTTCACTTAGGGCCAATGTCACGAAATAATTTTTTTTTCGAAAAGCGAGATACACATTCAGATCCACTCTGAGTGCACTTGTCACAACTGACCACAGATTAAGTAAATTGTACAGTATTCTTTTAACAGTTCTATGAACTGCAGCATCTTCCAAGCAGAAATTCACGTCATCGAGAAGTGTATTCAGTTTAACATCGAGAGAAACTATCATAGACAAGAGATTATAATCATGTCCGATAGTCAAGCAGCCATCAAAGCGCAATCAGCTCAAAAATGGTTTGGAGATGCCTAGAACAATTAAATGAGCCAGGCGAGAAAAATAGAGTTACTCTCACTTGGGTCCCGGGACATAACTAGGTACAGGGTAACGCGATTGCAGATAGTCTTGCAAGGAAAGGGGCTCAAACACCCTTTGTAGCAACAACATAATATTAGGAGAGATTAAAAAGAATTGGGCAGTAGAAGAACCGATAATTGGAACTATCTCTTGGTGTTGAGACAGGCCAAGATACTTCTGGATGAATATAACCAGAAAAGATCTGCAAGTCTGCATCTGCCTGAGCAAGAACAGGCTACATATTGTAACAGGAATCCTTACCGGGCATTGCCGACTAGAAGACTAAAAAACTGAGAATAGAAGAGGATAGTGAGTGCAGATTCTGTGAGGAGGAGGACGAAACCTCCATTTACTGAATGTGTAGCACTCCAGAATCCAAGGGCACTATATCTAGGAGGATGTCAAATAGAAGAGGGAGATTTACCTAACTTAAAGCCACTTCAAATCCTACACTTCCTTGAGAAAATAGGATTGGAAGGGTCGTTATAAGCATTGAGACATTTCCTTGGTACATTGGCGACATAAGGGGGCACAATAGATCTTTTAGGTCGCAGTGTATTAACACCCCATTCCCAACATAACATAATGAATTAAGATTGTCTTTATTTTTCAGACAAAAGGACAAATAGCACACGATTTATCCATTTTCAAATTTATAAACCAGCACAATTAATATTTTAGAACTATATAACGCACAGTGTCGCCAACCTAATTTTTTTCGTGCGTTGTGCTTGGACGAAAACCTAATAAATGCATATGTGTAAAATGTAAAATTCCCAAAACGTTCAATTAAAAATATTTATAAAAAAAAAAAAAAAAAAATGAAAAGATTTACCTTATTTATTTTTTGCTCATATTTAACATTTTTGTTTATCAAACTTCAAGTAACCAATTTAAGTCCCACAATTCTTTGGCATGCTGTATTGAATCACAGGTTTTAAATTCTTGTTTTAATTAAATTCATTTATTGCATTCAATTTAAAATTGCGTAATATGGCGACTACTAACTGGACGAGTTTGGTTAGGTTTTTATTAATATTAAGATATTTTATTTATAATATATTAATTTTTAGCTCTGGGAAACCACTTATACAGACCTAGTTATTACGGCATGCTGCTGATGCTGACGCGGTCTGTTCTGCTGACTATTTTTTTATATTTATTAACGTAAATACTATAAATATTAAAAAATTCAAACCGTGATAAGACAGTTTTACGACGTTTTGTAAATGAAACCGTTGCTATTACAAAATTTTGAGCTTTGATAAAACTCGTTCACTTTTTTGTTACTATTAATGCTGTTTCGAAATAACATAAATCCGTTATTTACAAAAGGGCTGTAGAAGTTTTTTATGTCAAAAATAGCACATGTATTGTTCCTAAAGTATCATGCCTAATGTCCTCGCTATTTATATTACTCACGTACCTACTACTTTTGTGATGGCAATGTTTCTATTTATTTGAAAGTTTCCTCAGGAAAATATTGTAAAAAATATGTTATTAAAAATAAATGTTATTTAATTGCTGGTTTTAATTTGTACTCTTTCATTTTCTCCATCGCACCACTATTTAACGCTTACTAATTTCTTTTCTCTTTTTTATGATCTAATTTGTGAATGCTTTTGTATTAACGATAATTATTTTAGGTTATCTTCGACGACCGCGTGGCAGAGGTCAGTTTGGTTGCGTCTGTGGCAAGAACTATTACGAAAAGAAGAACTTAGTAAGACACCAAAAAATGAAATGTGTATTTTATCAGTACGAAGAAAAAATATTTCTGTCGAAAAATTGAAGGCATGATGATTGTTTAAAGAAATTATTTTGTTGTATTATATCATAGTTTATATATTACGGTTATCCGTGTAAGCTGATATATTTTTATATTGTATACAGTACAGCCTTAAATTTCCCCACTTGTTCCAGAAGGACTTCAGGGAAATTAGTGCCTTTCTGAATCACTACTCTAGTTATTAATATTGTAAAGGTTTATTTTTTAGGATTATGTTACTATACATAAATAGATCTTAGTCACTTTTAATTTTGATCTTATTTTTGTTCAAATGTTGTCAATAGTTTGCTACTATAGTGCGAGACACGCTGAAAATGCAGTATAAAATCTTGAATGAAGCGCGCTGTTGCCAGCCGTCGCTATTCTAGGATCGGCAAAAAAAACACGATTCGTTTTTTCTCTAACATGTGCAACGCAATTACACCAATTCTGCTTAGTCACATGTTCAAATGCATTCTCTATCAATGAACAAACACCTTGTGTCTTAAAATCAAAGTTGTTCATACCTGATTCCATATTATCTTGATATATTTGTCGTATTGATCTGTAATGCGTTGGCAACTTCAGCAGATCAGATTTTTTTTTTTTTTTTCAAGGAGCCAATTTTTTTTCGGATTTGTTTCATG